ATCTTTTTTCCTGGATACTGCAATTAAGCCTCCCTAATATGAACAACAGCAACCACAGCAGCAACAAACCATAAAAAAGCCTAATCAATGGTGCCCTGGAATATCCACTTTGATGTGCATAATGCAACCCTGCTTCTCTATCAGTGGTGTGGAGGTGCCGTGAAAACCAACTGGGCTATAACTTGCACAGAGCAGAGCTGCGAGTGAATTATGATAGTAATTCCCTGGCAAGTGTAATTATTTCTCTCCTCACACATGCACTCATCACAGGGTCTGGGGAAATTTCAGTGGAGTGTTACAGACACACTCTTGGCCTCACCACCAAAATGGTAGAGCCCTTCCATTAAAAACCGGAGATTCTTGTTTACACCCATTAATAACATCTTCTGCATTAATGAATTGCATCCATGCTGTCATCCATTAAGAAGGTACTTTGAGGTCTCTCTCTGCACAGAAAACGAGCTTCTCCTGATGACTCTATTGTTATACAGCCCATAAATAAAACAAGTATTTTCCCTTCATATTTGACGTCTGCAATTAAATCTACTAAATGGACTGCAGATGCATGGTTTACTGTAAGTGATTCATCTTGGAAGATCATGGAAATGTCAAAGTCACCACAATGAAGTAGCATAGTTGTCAAATTAGGACAATTTCAGAGAGTAATGGACACCAGAAATTTCATCTATGTGAGCCAACCTTCTTCCTAACTATGGCCAGAGGTGAAGAACTAAAACCCTGAAGTAGGAAACCCTGTATACCACAGAAATTATGATCTTATGCTAATTTTTCAAATGAGAAATTGTATTTCCTGAAAGAATAGTACATAGTGAGGTGATATGGTAGTTCACAGATGCTTGCTACTAAGTACAGCTTCTGATGTGCTGAATGAACTTCAGAGAGGAAGACGACTCACGTACGGAAAGGAAAAGGCATGTTGTATTACTGAATACAGAATATTTGATAGAAACAGAGAAAAACTGCCCAGTAGTAATATACTCTTCTCTGGAACAGTCTATGCTCTGAATTACAGTTCTGATTGCTATTGCCTGCTTTCTTCACAGAACACTGTCACTGGTAATACCACCCCTTTGCGGAAAAAAGAAAAATCTCAGTTTCAGAGACAGCAGGGTTCCTGGGGTATAGTGCTTAGGGAGAATAGCTTTATTCTCATTCACCAGAGCAGACCTAGTCTTATGTTTCAACAATATCCCCCATTTACCTAGAAGTGGCATATGTGGGATTCAGATGAGTGCTGCCTTTTGAAGAGTTGCAGAGCCACACAAAGCATGAGGCAAGCCTATAGTGCACTGCACAGTCTTTCCAAAAGCAAAGTTGCAGGCTCAGTCCCTGCCCCATGCTAAGCTTCCCTGAGATTTCTTGTGTCTACTACACCGACTTCATCATCAACTATTATATCCTTACACTACAAATTATATCCAGGAACCATGTGCCCTAGACGTTTTATGCAGCCTTGGAAATCTAGGTCTGGAGCCAAGCAATCAACGTTAGAGGAGAAAGAAAGATATTAGTTTCTTTACAGAAGACAGAGAACTCTCAGGTGGCAGAATGAAAACAGTCCCTGAGAGCATAAAATAATTATCAACTAGTTACATCACCATCACCACTTGTTATTCACTGTATTGATTTTAATTGTCTCCTTCTAAAGCATCAATCAAATATTACTCACCAACACCAACAAAGTGTTGGCTCACAAGCCCAACAAGGCACGTCTTGTGTCCTCAAAAGAATAAGAAAACGGCCTAGACTTCCCAGTAGTATTTGATGTGCTGAGAGTGCCCTGTTTGCAGGCAGCTTTTATGGTATTACTGAAGAATATGGCCAGGATTACTCTCCTAATGGTAGGAATACATATCTATTTACGGGATCCACACAGAGGAGCTGCATTTAGTTTGACATTTGCATAGAAGAAAGAGGGGTCATGCATACATTGGAAACGAAATGGTGCTTTGATTCTGGAGCAACTGTTTTGCTTTCAAAAGCACAGAGAATTCCTGGTAGTTTCTAACCATGGTTGTCACAAGAGAGATACTAGGAAGAGCTTTTTATCATTTCACTCTTCGATAAAACTTGCAAATTCTTGGAAAACTTTACTACTTGCTGAATTTCTCCTTATCCAAGCAATCCAAAAACCAAGCAGCTCATGTGCTGAGTTTGATGGGATTTCATGTGGCATAAAGTCCTATGCCCTCAGAATCACCGTGGCAGAGTCCTGTCAGCACTTTTGCTGCAAAACACAACTAGATTCTCAAGGGAGAGGCTTGGGTTACTTCATTAAGACACCTAATGACACAGATTAATGCCCACTTCAGTGTAGGATTGGTTCTCCTTTGACAGGCCTGAAGTGCACAAGAGACAGTCAAACAACCTGAATTAAGCAAGACTAAGATGGTCATACAAAGGTTTTGTGAACTCCGTGTCTCTCCCTGTCCGTTCCTTCATTCCTTCCCACAACCATGATCTCTCATGTGAGTTTTGTTGTGCTCTCAAATACATTGATTTAGATGAACAATCATTCACCTGGTATTTTCATACCAAAGAAAACCAAAATGCAAATTGGGCCTGTGATATTTTTGGTCCACTCAGAACCTCTAGGGATCATCCTGTTCATCATTGCAAATTAACGAGACTGAAGCTCAAGGTCTGCTGTGCACAGTCACTATCTCAGCCCAAGTGAATTGCTCTCAGAGAAACAGGGAGCAAGGAACTTATGGAGATGAGCCAAAGAAAGAGGAGACAATACTCCACATATAAATATAGAAAGAAAGATTCTACAATTATTCTCTGCTTGTATAGATCAAATTTTCCATCTTCTAGAATAACAAATTCTCCCCTTCTTAATCTCAAAGCCAAAATTTGACATTACTGAGACTTAGTCACAGAAGGAAAAAGATCATCTCTCAAAGCAGCAGCTTTGTCTATCAGTTCCTTGCAAGTATAAAAATATGCTGGCAGGCATAGGCAGCTCCACAAAGCTACTGGTAGGTGGATATGCAGATACGCAAATCTGTAACTGGGCTTCTTAAAATCAAACTATACTACATGATCCCAGTCCCCTTGCATGCATCTGGAGATTTCTAGTGCCAGGCAGGAAACATAAGCCAGGCATCTCAGCAATGAACTGCACATGTAACTGACAACATTCATCATGAGAATATGCATGCATCTGATAACTGACCATCCCTACACAAATTATAAAAATTTTATATTTACATTTGGGACCAGTTTTTCAGGGACGCTGCTTCTTAGCCCAGGCAACTGACTATCTAATAAGTATCTCTACAAGAGATTCAGGAATCAGGTTTTTCATGCCCCTAGGATGTAAACTGCTATCAAGCAAAAAGGAGCAAATTATTAATTTCTCTATTTATTGGCTGAGCTGTAAAATCACAGAAAAGAATATCTGGAAGACTTCCAAATAAATAAAACTTATAAAACCCGTCATGACAAATTTCTTTTCATTCATTTTTCTTTCATTTTGCTTGGCTTCTATTTGTTGTGGTTATTTTTCTTAAAATTTAGCTACATTTAAACATGAAAGAAGTGAGAACAACATATTGATGCATTTAATTTTGAAAATGCTTAAATGTAAATTATAAGAAAAAATAAAATCCCTTACTTCCATCCAAAATTATTCACTGAACTCAGTGCCATTCCCACATCTTTCAGCCTGCCTGGGACTACATTTATCAATGAACAATCTCTTTGCCTGAGGAACTTCAGCTGTATCTACTTCAGAGAGGCTGTTCCTGCCCCATGGAAGAGGCTGAAAGTCTCTGCCCCAGGACTTTGCAGTCACAGGGCAGAGATCAAGCAGACTCATGCAGTCCAACAGCTGCTGCCTGCTTACAGGGTTTCCATTGACAGACATCCTTTAAGTTTTAGGGTTCAGGTCACACCTGTGTGGCTTTTCTTGATTCAAAATCACAGGTCCCATACCTATCAAAATGGCAGTAGTTGTATGGTTTGGCTTCAGCTTTCTTGTAAGACAGGAGGGAAGAGGGACCAGGGGACAGGACACTGGACTTAATGCAAAACTCAACAGTTCCAAGAATTTGGTTCAGGAATATACCTCGGCAGCGCTGATTTAACTGGAAATACTCACGAAGAGCATGAGGTACACCAGAGAACATAGTGAGAGGCATTAGAGGACATTTGTGTTCGTAGTGAAGGGTCTTAAACTGGGAAACTTTCCTCACAAATTATTGCTTCACATTGGAGCATAGAGTAAATGTATGTGCCACTTTGTGCTTGGCAGTGCTATGAGGCTTTACATCCTATAAATCTATAAATTGAATTCATCCTGCTTACACCCTTAGTCTTATAAATTGTTACACTAGGAACATCTAATGGATCAGCTGGTGATTTATTTTTAAAAGATGCATACTGCTGCTTTTTGGGAACCGAAGAGGATATGGACTCTGCATGTACCCTTCCTGAAGCCCGGGTCCTGGGTAATGAGGAATTACTCTGTATCCTCCCCTGTCCCCATCCACATGCTTTATTCAGGTTCTCAGAGTGGACCTACTGTTCAAGCAGAGAAAGGTCTGGCATTGTGTAGAGATGTACTGCAAAGGAAACCCCACACAAAGAGCAGATGAGGTATCAGTAACAATGCCAGGCAATGTATAATGAGAAGGATGCGTATAACTAATTTATTAGTATAAATTTGACTCTTGAAAAAAAAAATACATGCAAAGAAAACTCTAAAGGAGCAAACCCTACCTGCCTTGCTCCTTGAGACAAACCCTGAGCTCACTAAAACTAACTGTCTGAGTAAAATGAAGGAGCGTTGCCACAAATGATGCTACAAGACTCACTCCTGTCCCTGCAGCATTGGTCAGTCCAATTGCTGCCAATCATAGCAGAAAGAGGGATCCATTGTTTCCAAAAGGCTTCCCTACTGCTTCAAGTGGGACCATGCCACTTGTCTTGAAAGAGCCGCTCTTCGAGCTCATGCCTGCAGCTGAACAACTTACCTTTTAGAGAGGCGACATGGGATAAAGCTTGTGCATAGGTGGCTGTGTTGAGAAGAGTCCCTGGTAGGCAGGAAGGGAAGAAAGGTCCTGTAGGACCCACTGCTCGACTCAGGCTGATGGAGAAGAGAAAACAACTTCCTTACAAAACTAGAACTAGCTGATTCCAAAGACTGCAACTGTGCATGCACACAAACACCTTGGTGTCTCAGCATCCAACTAGATGGGACCAAGCCTGGATAACATTAGCCTCCCACTGCCACCAGCTTCTCAGTGTCTTTTTAGGGAGCAAAGAATTGCACAAGAGACAGCTCATCTTCTAATGATTTGGGCTGTACATGAAGACGATACTGTGCAGGTCAAGGCTTAGCAGCAGGCAAGTCTGTATGTATGTACATACGTATGATGCATGCTTGACACAAAGAGGCAGTCAATAGCATGTATTACTCTTACCTCTGCTGGATCTCGAGACCCTCTTTTTTGTTCCTGGTTTGATCTGCTGGAGAAGGGGAATTTAAATTCCTCGCAGGAGGTGCCACCTCAGCCATTGCTTCCTTAGAGCCCTCTTGGTCTGAAGCACCCCGCTCTGTTTTCCTCCACTTAGCTCTTCGATTTTGGAACCAAACCTGGAGCAGGACAGCAATCCAGGCTGAATACCGTGTTTAGCCGAATGCGAAGCAAGGAAGTTGTAAATTGTTATTCTAGTGAAATCAGTTGTTTAAAAGCTTGCCTAAAACTTCCTCTTATTTTGTGTCCCATTATTCTAGTTGTGTCCCATTATTCTATTGTTATTCTAGTTAAACTTTAGGATTACATTCGTATCTGGAATATATCTGTGTCTGAAAAACAAGCCAGGAATGTCTAAAAACATTCAAAAGTTAGGTTAAAATAAAAAAAAAGGGGGGACTTGATGTTACTGTGCCAGTTGCAAAACATTTAAGTGTGTGCTTGCCTTTACACACACATTTAGTTCTCACTGATTTCTGTTTTAACACATCTAAAAGCTTTTTGTATAGGGATGGACTTTAATACATATCTAAGCTCTCTGACAAAACCATATATAAGTCTTTAAATGAGCTGCTGCTAGAATCAGAGAGGTCAGAAACGAAAAGGTATACATTAGGCCAACTTATCCAGCCCATTTCCTGGAGAGGACTGATACTTGCTGTTATTCCTCTGATGTATTTGTTCAGTCTGGATTTAGAGGACTCAAAAGGTGGTAGGTACTGACTTTGGAAGAGCATTCAGTTTAATACGCACTAGTGTCCAAAACTTATTTTTATCCCGTAATGTGATACAAATATTCACATTCTTGATTTTATCCCCTGACTTTTAGTCCAAACACTTTTACTTTTTTTCATTTACCTTGGAGCTGATGCTGTGAAAGCGCTTTATTTGAGGTGGAAAATGCCAAGCCTTTCTTGAGGTCAGGAAATCCACATTTTAATACATGACTTCAAGTATAGGCGAGATTGTTGTTGTTGTTATTATTATTATTACTATTCTCCTCCTACAACTTCATTTCAGTTAGCTGCCTTTTAATTGCATGTATCAGCAAACATTGAATAATTATTTTATCTATATTCTAAATTTAGAGCAGTTAAATGCAAAGCAAAATGCAGACACTTTCTTGTGTCTTAATTGAATGAAGGTCACTCCTATAACAACATTTAATTGAGCTATTTTTCATTATCATATTTTAATGACTTTGCACTGACAGTTCGCCTGCTTCTGAGAAAAGAGCATGATGAAGTCGTTTATTTCCCTATTTAGTTATTGTTTGACAACATCATCTTCGATTAAGACTCTGCTTTATAGCACATTAATCATATTTGAATGAGCAAGGGGTATAAATGTAAACATATCTCCCATCCTCTGCGTTTCCCCATGTCCCTGCATGAAAGCAGGCTAAACAAATGCTTGCATCTTTTGTCTGTTTGCATAATAGCCAACAACAAGGCTAAACACCAGTCCTCAGCAATCTAATTGTCAGCACCCCTATCTCACCCTTGCACCTTTCAGGAAGAAGTTATGATCTTCCACTTCTGAATGCTCAATAATTGTCCCATTTATCTCAATTTGCAGTTTAGTCTTTAGGCACCAATAGCCAAAATGGCTTTTTTTTTTTTTTTAAGCCAGCACCTACAATGCAGTGGCAAAAGGAGTTTTTCATTTCCAAATAATAATCAGTTTAATTTGCCCGCATATGACCAATGATTCATGTTCAGATTTAATAATCAGGATCGCATAATCTGATTATAGGAGAAATAATTTGTTTACAATCCCCAATTTACTGCGGTGAATTCCATTATCTCTCTTCAGCCATTGGGTTTTAAGAGATACTAACCTGACCCTAGGGAACAAAAGGCAAGCTATTATATTTCCTACAATTAGATCCTTGCATAGTCTTAACCCCGAGCACCCAAATAAAAGAAAATAAAATTAAAAAAAAAGAAAACAAAAAAAACCCCAGCTTGCAGAAATAATAAAATTAATACATAATCGTGTTTAAAAAATGGTTTGCAACTCTATGGTGGATGCCTGCAGAGTTATAGGGATCCAACTCTGCAACTGCAAGACTGTTGTTTTCGGCAGAGCTTGTAGACACACGAAGTTAATCCCTGGATATGGAAAAAGAAACACCTGGATAAAAAAAAAGGGAGGGGAGAGGGGGAAGTGGGAAGAAGGAAGGAAGGAAAAAAGGAACGGGTGGAAAAGAGTGGGGGTGGAAAGAGAGTAATTGTCGCCAATGGTATATACTGGATCATCTTAAAGGTGTGGGAATGGCTCTGCAGGCTCTTTAGCTGTCTAAATTAACAGTTTAGAAAGAAGGCGAAAGGGAGAAAAGTTGCAGAGGTGCAGTCCTGGCAGCTGGGCGCCCTGCAGTTGGCTAACCCCATTGCTCGACAGTGGTCAGAGCTGCTTTGGAGAATCACGTCTCAGCTCTTTTCTCCACACACCGCCCCCTCCAAAAGCAAGGAAATGGATGTGCATTGATGTAATTTAGTACCTTGGAGACGCGGACAAATTAGTGTAGAACATTATCACTAGTTAATTATGAATGACCGATTAATCAACCTAATCTAATATTCCACATTATGTTGATGTTATTAAAGTGCATCATGAAAATGACAGATCGTCTTCATTTGCGTTCTTTGGCCAAATGTGCACTCTGCAGTCATGATGTCAAAAGAAAAAAATAAAGTTTGCCAGTTGGAGTACCCGAGAGTTGAATAATTCCCCGGAATGTTTACCTGCACCCTGGCTTCCGTGAGGT